TACTTTATTTGAACGTATTTATGCTGAAAGGAACTATGTGCACAAAGTTTGAGTGCAACATTGTTCCTTTTAGCATAATTACGTCCATTTATTAAACGGAAAACTATACAACGGCAATTCTTCAAAACTGCCGTGACTTTTCTTCTCGATACGAAGAAAACTCTGCAAAAACTTGAAGGAATGATGTCAATTTGTTCTCCTGTAAAAAAATAATATTGAGCCGGAGATTTTCAAACATCGCAAACGAGATACGTGGTTACGGACTGACGCCGTCGATATGGAGGAAGTACCTACATTCGTAAAAATAATGCCCACGGACGCAGTAGATTTGAAAATGCCTGACGCTAACCGTGAAAATTGGGCATTTCGGAGCTTATTGGATTTTTGAAAATCTTCGGGATTCAACCACCCTAGGGGCCCCATCAATATTCAAGGATCCGCTGAATTCTCACGTGTGCTTTGGTGGGGTCCCTCGCAAGAACACCCCCATCAGAAGCGAGGCTTGAATGAACGATTATCGATTTTTCCCCATTTGAAGCTACGGTAAAGAATCGATTATTAAGGTGTCCGTTGCGAACACCCTGTTAATCGATCCTTTTCCATAGGTTTGAATGGCAGATCGATCGATATATCGCAAAGCACGCCACGCCAACCCCCATACTTTTTCTTCAGTCACATTCTACCCGTCGATCGGCCCTCGAGTTCATTCAGATTGACGGACTCGGAACCAACGAGCCTCAGCGTGTTGCAAGTCTACCGCGCTAGGCAACAACCACCTATCTAAATAGACTTTAAAGCGGAGTTAGGGGGTTTTTGCCGCAAGTCGGGTCGGGGTCATCAATTATTGATCCTACGGGCGTCCATTCCGGCGCGCGACGTGGATTGACGAGCTCCCTGCATCAATAACGTGTCTTGCATTGCGATGCATCGATCGATCTGCCATTTAAACCCATGGAAAAGAATCGATTATCGAGAAATCGATTCTTTACCATAGATTTAGATGGGAAAATATCGATAGCGGATGATTCTCGTTTCGCTGCTAGAACTTGAACTGGTTGGGAAGTGGCATCGGGCCCCCGGAGGAGACAGTGCAGAGACCCGGAGGAAGAACCACGTATTTCCGCGGAGCTGTCTTGGGGGTTGCGGGGTTTTGGTTTGAAGGGGCAGGAGAATCCGAGTGAAGTTGGCGGGAGCCGGGACGGGCGCGGTTTATTATTTAGTAGGTGTTGTCCCTTGCGCTACGGCCACGCATGTGAGAATTTCAAGAATCACAAAGGCATAGGTTATCGTTTGCATAATTCATGGGCTTCAATTCCGGCTCCAGCCTCGAAGGGAGTATGCGCCGTGACAGCCGGCTTGCGCATCCATCCCGCCCTGGACCCTTCAGACGAGGACCGTGTTGTCAGATTTATGGAAATTATTTGATTTATTCCCGCCCGGAGCAAAAATACCGTGATTCCTCCAGGATGCTGAGTTTCTGAAAATTTACTATAAACATACACTGGAAAAAAAACACATTGGATCTAGAGTCCAGACTCTTAAAATCATCGACAAGAAAAAATACTCTTGATTCGATCAGATTAAGCTTAAATCAAGAATCAAGCCTCTTAATTTGAGCGGATTTCCTTTTGATTTAAGCTTAAATCTGATTGAATCAAGAGTCCTTTTTCTGGTCAATGTTTTCAAGAGTCTGGACTCTAGATCCAATGTGGTTTTTTTTTTTTCCAGTGTATCTTCTGATACATTTTATTGTCAAATTTGGCTGGCTAAGCTGTATAGAACATGATAATTGATTAAAAATTCGAGTTACACGCCGAAATGAACAAGTAATATTTCAAACTATATGTAAATGAGAAACAATATAAAACTTACAAGAATGGAAATTCTTCTTGTAGTTTTGCGAAATCGGGACGACACACGAAATTTTATACCACTGAGAATAAGGTCCTGAACCTCGAAGTGCATCTGGAATACCTAACTAAAAATTGGTAAACACTCCAGTCACAAATATGTAACCTCAATCAAATATCAAAGAGAGCAAAATTTAAATTAAACGATAGTCTTCTAACTTCTACGTAGTTTGAAATATTACCTGTTCATTTTGGCTTGTAGCTCGATTTTTTAATCAATTACCATGTTCATATCGTTTGATTTGCACATTTCAAACTATATGTAGATGAGAAATAATATAAAACTTACAAGAATGTAAATTCTTCTTGTAGTTTTGCGAAATCGGGACGACACACGAAATTTTCTACCATGAACATGATAATTGATTGAAAAATCGAGCTACAAGCCGAAATGAACAAGTAATATTTCAAACTATATGTAGATGAGAAATAATATAATACTTACAAGAATGTAAATTCTTCTTGCAGTTATGCAAAATCGGGACGACACACGAAAATTTATACCACTGAGAATAAAATTCTGAACCTCGAAATGCATCTGGAATGACTAAATATTGGTAATACTCCTGTCATAAATATGTAACCTTAATCAAATACCTATCAAAGAGTGCAAAATGCAAATCAAACGATGGTATTCTAACTTCTACGTAGTTTGAAATATTACCTGTTCATTTTGGCTCGTAGCTCGATTTTTTAATCAATTACCATGTTCATATAGTTTGATTTGCATTTTGCACTCTTTGATATTAGATTGAGGTTATATATTTGTGACTGGAATGTTTACCAATTTTTAGTTATTCCAGATGCATTTTGAGGTTCAGGACCTCATTCTCGGTGGTACAAAATTTCGAGTGTCATCCCGATTTCGCGAAACTCGTCAAATTTTTAAAGAACTTCTGAAAAATGTTGAAGGACGAACATATGCGCGACGATTATGAACCGCACGTTCCGCTTTGAACCGGCTTGCCTCGTACTGTCGCACTGGTTTACAGGTCGCTGCACATGTACAACATTATTACTCGTAATACGTGACCCAGAAAAGTCGAGAAATTTTACCGCGGAATCTTGAAATTTTGTCTTTATCCAAAGCATTGCATTTGTTCAATTTCAAGAGACTTCGCAAACCCTTGGAAATTTACCGAAAAAAATCAAGGAGATCAATTTTTGTGAATTCGGCAAGTATAAAAAGCATTAACACCTGCATACTTATAACTTAAATTGGTGTACATTGAGGGGATATTAGTCAAGAAGGCTCTGAAGGAACGAGGTTCAAAAACCGTCGCACTTCTAAATTGAGTGAGTTTTGTAACAAAGCTGGCTGTATTGGACCCGGTAACGAAGATCCACTTTCCATCCCAATTCTACATCCATCGTTGTCTCCTCTAGTTCCAAAACCATGTGAGGATGCATCTAATCGTACCTCAGAGGAGTACCTGTAAAACTCTTGGACTTGAAATTAAACTGGCTACACTTATCTAAATACTGACCCATAGAGCTGGCCGTATCTTTATGATAGCGGAAAACAGGTTTTTAGGTGGAATTTTACTGCAAAGAAACGCTAGCTGGAAATAACCGCAATTCTAGAATTAAAGTTGGAAGATAGATGGATTAATACAAACATAATAATGACACAATATGAATTGGTTGATTTGACGATGACGGGAATAATATTGTCGCCATTTTTGTTCTTATAGAGTTTCCAAAGATATAAAGCAATTTGATTGAAGAAGAATACAACTGTTGTTGAAAACTTTTTGAAGTTGTGACCCTGCATTGATTCTTGCACTAAAGTATGAGAAATTATCGTTACTGAGATTTTCAGCCGATGAAACATTCTGTCGGTTATGCATAACCGTCGTCCCATTTTACAGTGATGGTAATTACTTATAATTTTTTGCGTGAATCTTATGCAAGTGCGCAAATTAGACCATTTCCAATGGCTGTTGTTCTTCCAAATGTTCCAATGTTCCAATGTTCTTCCAAGATTAATGTGTCTCGTTGCCTTGAAAATACTTGAAAATGAAACTGGCGACACTACCATTCCCATCATTCAATAAATTTCACAGGGTAGTTCCGTAATTTCTGTTTAGCAGGGCGGTTGACTCTAATGTGAGCTTGTTCAAAACAACATTTTCTACAGAATTATGACAACTAGGTGTGTTGCATTTGCCTCGTCTGGCCAGCTTATGAATCCTCTACCGCGACGAATGGAGATACAGCCTGCCAAGCCAGGGCCCACGCCACCCCTAAAAAATCCCACCCCATGCTTTATTCCATTCAGGGCAGAGAGAAGAATGAGAAAAGGCGAAAACAGATAGAAATATCCCTCTTGATATGACTGTATTTTAGCGAGAAGAGCTAGAAATAAAACCTACTTGGGTCATAAGTGCGGGAGCACTAATGCTCGCAATGTTTAGGGCTGTACCGTAAACCGGAAAATATATTGAGAAAATTTAAGTATTGTCAAGAAACAATTTACTAGTTTATATGTTTTGCTAAAATGAGCTCTAACTTTCAATGAAAGTTTTTTTGACCGGCAGAGCATTGGATTTTAAGCTCAACTATGTAGAATATCGAAATGTTAGCGTTCAAGGAAAACCGGGACTTTAAAAAGGGAGTTAAAAAAAATATACACCTGGACATCGATCTATTTCTAAAGCGAAGGAATTTGAATAAAAGACGAACAAAAATGTCGTATCGAATCAGAATTAAGACTGTTTAAAGTTCACAGTTCCAAAATCTAGGTAATAGAAATAAGTATTTGAAAGTTCATCTTTTCATATTCGAGACTGGTTTTGTATTTTCAACGTTGAAATCAGCTTTCCTTTTTCTCAATACCTGCGTCTAATTTTGTCCATAGGTTTTTTACAATTTTTTTTGTAATTATTCTCGTTTTTACCGAAATCGCAAAAAACTTCACACGCTATCTTATTGGGATACTCATAAAAAATGACAGGCTTTACGATGATTTTAAAATCAAAGTGCTTGCTGATATTGAGTTTTTTATATGTATATGTCTTAATTTCAGAGGTCTACGGATAATAGGGTTACTTCAGTGTGCTTATCAAGTGATTCGTTCTCTGTTTACAGATGCGCCTATGCTGGTGGTGGACAGTTCTCGTCTTAACCGGAATGTGCTGCTTTGGTCAATACGTTGCGCCTTGCAATTTCAACTCTCTATGTACCTGCAAATATTACGATATTATACTCCGCAGACCCCCAAAAGATGTCAGCTGTGTCAATGTACCGTTCTTCAAATTACCTGGTAAGATCCACAGACTATGTCCTCAGTCGACATGTTGATAAGTGCTTTGCGAGGCAGCCAAACTTTTCAACCCACAAAGTTCTGCATTATCTTCATGAGAAATTGAAAGATTTTGAATTTTTTTATTTATTTATTTATTTTTTTTTTTATTTTTTTTTCTTTATTGCTGGATGGGATTTTTCATTTATGTACAGGATCGTTTCTACACAATCTGAGCCCCTCGCCACGACCTTGAGACAGGCTTTGGTTCCTTTTCTGTCAACTGGTCGACTTTTCGTCGGCGAAGCAGAATTTTCGGCCCAGCCCGGCACGTATCAGATAGGGTCACGAATTTAATTTTCAGAGAATGACACTTAGAACAATTTTATATTCTTTCTTGGCTATTCTCTCTTTTCTCGGTGGTTTCCTTTTGATCAATATGTCGCAGTTTAATAAGTTACTTAAGAAGACGAAAAAAGAGTTGATGATAGTCCAAATCAACTCCAGAAAATGTATATAAAATTAAAATTCTAAACTAAGCTGTTAAAGGGACTTGCTCCATACTGAAGGAATTACATGAATATTGCCTCCTCCTCGTACTTTTTTAACGTTTAAGGTCAAAGAAATTAGATTAAGATCGATTCTATGAGAAACAGCCTGCTTAGGAAAATGTCTAGATCGTTTTTTATGTATATTTTGATGACCGAAACCTATGGTTTCCTGTTTGAAAGAATCACCTGGATCGAAAATAATAATTCTTTCAGTGGAAGGCGTGAATGATCGATTATCAATATTTCCTCCTTTGAAGCTACGGTAAAGAGTCGATTATTAAGGTGTCCGTTGCGAACACCCTGCAGTTTATCGATCCTTTTGCATAGGTTCAAATGCCAAATCAATCGATATATTGTGAAGTACGCCACACTGAGAAAAAGCTATGGTTTATAAACCTATTAGTGGTAAATATGGAACACCTATAATAGTCGTAAATAAACTAATGATTCTCGGTCTGTGAACCATACTAAGGTCTCTGTACCTAATTAAGGTACAGAGACCATAACTAAGGTATATGTGCTATTATTATATGTAGAGGTACTACTATTAGTGGTGTTCCATATTTACCTCTAATAGGTTTATAAGCCATAGTTTTTTCTCAGTGCACGCCACTGAATTATTTTTATTTTTCACGTATGGAAGTTGTAACGTTCCTTATTAATTATGATGAATGTGAAAATGCTAATTGAGACTTTTACCTCTGCCTACAGAAACACTATCCGGGAAATTATCGCACATAGACGTTGTGAAAGCGGGGATGGATAGCATAGATTCCGAGACTTTGACTGGAATCGAAACAGAATCATTAAGACTGATGAACAATGAAATCGTCGATATTTCTGATACATCTTTTTCGTAAGTTTGATATTTATTTATTAATGTATAAAATGTAAAACGAGTACAAAGAACTTCATCGGTTCTATCTTTAATATTCAGTTGCGACGACAAGTTGTATCACTTTCCACTCACGGAGGTAATGGAAAAAATAATATCTGGTCTTTGTTGACATTTTCCCATTGTTTGAGTTTTTAGTCCGCACAACTTTTAATTTATTTTTAAAGTAATACTACTAAATTTGTGTATTCAAAGATGTGCTTAGTAAATATTAAAAAAAAAAAAAACTGTTTAACTGTTTAGTCACACAAAGTGGCCCATGAATTGTAATAAAATGTATGAATGGGAAATTTCAAAACCATCTATAGCGGTTTAAGCGCCTCAAAATTTCTGCGATAAAAAAAATACTATTTACTTCATCTGTGTTTTTCATATATTAATTCGCGACTTACTTTCAAGGGGTCAATTTTATTAATAATGTCAAGCCGAATGAAGCATAAGTCTTTACTTGTGCAGTTGTTAAGGTATTACGTGTTGGTAGTAGCACTTCGTTAATTTGTAGTTTTGGTTAAAATAATCAAGTCAAACCTTACACTGAAATGAGTTTATTTGTCAACTCTTAGATGCCCAAACCGGAACTTCCTGAAACACGTGCCCTAAGGGTTGTATGGGGCCGGTACGGTACGCACATATGGATTGCATTTTGCAAAAAGGAACCAGAAGCATTGAAATGTTGCTAAAATTGTGCAACTTTATCCTTGGCAATAAAATTACTGAAATCATGAAAAAATATGAAATTTACATGGTAATTTTTGTTTTAATTTTTAGTTTTAGCCAGTAACATAGAAACTGATAATGGATAATCAGATTTTCCTTCCTAGACAAAAGAAGTTGCACAATCTTAGCAACATTGCAATGATCCTGGTTCCTTTTTGCAAAATGCAATCCATATGAGCTTTAGATATAAGTTTACAAATACATCCTAAAAAAACCAGACATTATATTGGAAAGAAAAGAATAATATCGAGTGTCAACACAGCCGAAGATAGGAAAGACGTAGGTAATTGGGTCTCGTTTTTTAACGTGATCCCCAAATCTGAGCGACAACTCATCGGCAGCATAGAGCGGAGCATTGAAAGTTCACGCCTCGCGCATAGCGCCTTCAATTTTGCACACGCAACACGGACATCCATCAAGGACGAATAGTTGTATCTCTGCGCCGTCATCAACGCGCGACTTTTCCCCTACTCTATTTCCACATTGTGTTTGCTTCCGTCAAATCTATTCGGTCAGGCGCTATAGTCAGGACGTAACAGAAAAATGATATGACTAACATTAGATTTACAGTAAACTACAGTCAAGGTGATCTCTTTCCATAAACAGTTTAATCTCTTATCATGAGGTAAGATAAGTGATAACAGAGATACAACTGTTTACGATCACACAACACCACAACTGTAGTTCCTGTAAAATCCAATGTTGATCATATGTTATTTTTCTGTTAACTCCTAACGATGGCCTGATCGGATAGCTTTGAATCGTTTAACTAATAAAGAAACTTCAATATAAGTTTTGACGTAAGTTTCATAGCACTGGCTACTCCAAAAATGACATAACTAACTCCCTTCAGCTGTAAATCAGTTACTTTATCTTATATTTCTCGACCTTAAAGGTCATTTTTCCTCATTCCATTTGGACCGCGTTTAACAGAAAAGAACAAAGCCACATCAGCTATTGCCAAATTTAACAGGGAAATTTGATTTTTTAAGAGAGAGCGTTGGTGCGGATTCCTTTGAAATTTTTAAGGAATTTGCTTTGTATTATGGAGAAAATTCATTGAAATTTGCACAAAAATCCGCACAACCGTTTTCATGTAAAAAATTAAATTGCCCAATTAAATTTGGCAATAGCTGATATGGTTTGGTTCCTTTCTGTCAAACGCGGTCCATTCGGTAATGCAATTCACTTGAGTTAGGTTCCAACCTAAGAATACAACTATTTGAACTTCGGTGTGTTGCACAGTATCATACGCATTTGAAGGGGTTTTATATTGGTCCGACTGGTTCCTTCTGTTTAACGCGGTCCATTTCTCTGAACTTCGATTCGTCTCCCTTGTAGTAAACAAAGTATGTGCGGAGATTTTGAACTAAAGCGATGAAGATACGTGGTTTTACACAAACAAAAAACTCCAACATCCTTGAGTCCCTTTATACTAAGAGTCAAGAGAATGTGAATCCATTTCTGATTGGTTCCCGTATTTTAGGCCTTCACAGTGTCACAAACGGAAATAAAGATTACATTTTCACCGACTGCAAATATTATATTCTGGAATGGACCAGGGAATTACGGGTTCGGCAAGGAACAAACGGAATGAGAGAAGGAACGGAGAACGGAATTTGAGAATGGGCCGATCAAAGATTACGAAAAACGTTCAATTTCTATAATCTTTATTCCCGTTTGTGACTCCATGAGGGGGTGTTGTCTGGACTCTCAGTATAAAGGGACTCTACAACATCCCGTCATACGTGGTTTTACAGTTTAGGCAGCGTCCCGTCATAAAAACTCCATTCCGCTAAACGCTGAGCATTCGCTTCCCGGTTAGCGGGCGACGTTCTCTTGAATTAGAGTCAGCGGCCCCGCATGACGTGGCGTTGAGCCCTCCTCTTAAAAAATAATCGAATTCTATCCCATGCTTCGACACCAGGTACCCGAAAAGGGGAAAAAAAGTCGGCAGATATGACGGAGAGGGAGAGGAAGTGAGAGAGACGGTGAAAGGTGTCAAAATATAAATAAAAACCAGGATCGTGATTGATTGTGACGCTCTGAAACGAAGGCGATGATGGCGATGAGCCGGAGGCGTCGCGACGCCACGCGTCGGCGTCGGATTGTGCGTTGCTTCTTATTTTTTTATTTTTTTTTTTTTTATTTATTTTTCAATTTTTCTTATTTGTTTTTTAATTTTTCAATTTTTTTAAACTTTTTACTTGGTTTTTCAATTTTTTAATTTTTAAAGGTTTTTTATTGGTTTTTTTTTTTTTTTATTTTTTATTTGTTATTTCAATTTTCAATTATTTTTAGTTGTTTTTTAATTTTTCAACTTTTTGTTTGTCTCGCGAAGAAACAAAACTGCACAGGAAAAAAATTTAGGTGGACTACTAAGGAATGCAATGAGTTACGCTTGGACCACATTTTGCAATTCGACACTGCAAGTTTTGGCTCATTCACAGAAGCGCGTGTCTGCATAGGGAAACTAATGGCGCATACGTTGTTGCTATAACGAGTCAGAAATAGTAGTTCCTTATTGCAAAATGTAATCCACTTTTCCTGTGGTGTTTTGCTGGTCGCTACGGGACAAACGGGTGTAGGTGGTGTGGACGAGAATTTTTTGCGGCTAGTTTTATGCTTCATGTGCCGTTTTTGAAACATACAGCCAGCTATAGATGCTGTTCTTTGTCCACAGAGATCAAGGGATGAACGTACCAACGCCCTATCGCCCTAGGTTTAGGTATTCAGTAGATTCAGCATTCAGTGACGTGAAAATGTGTTACTATTATTGGGATTTGAACCTCAGACCTTAACTTAAAGTCAGACGCGCTGACCACTTGGTCAACCTGTTCGGCTGCCAGTGAGAATTGAAATTTCAAGCCCTGAACAATATGTCAATAATAAATCTTGCGAATCTTTAAAAATCCATCTCTTTTCTAAGTATATACATACATAAAGCCGCTTTTATAGCGCCGCCTCGCGCTCTGCGACGCCCAATCGCCATTGTCCCCTATCCTCCCAGAGATCATCAGGCAATTGGCACCTTCTGATCTCCTCCTCCACCCCTTGTCACCAACCTTTCACAGGACGTCCACGCCGTTGCCTTCCGGGAGGAACCCAATCGAAGACCTGCTTGGGCAACCGATCATCTGCCATCCTTCGCACATGTCTATACCAGACCAACTGCTTGGACCTGATATCGTGCACGATGTCCTTCTCCACGCCCATTATCTCGCGTACCTTCTATAACCTACCTAAGTATATACTTTTTAAAAAAAAATAGTCAATTTTCACGACAAACGCTTGGATTTTAGAAGAGGTTCTCTCATACTGTTCATTTTCCCCCCTTCTTTTCCTCCTTTTTAAATCACCAAATCGTCTCAATATTTCCGACGGCACGCCTAGCTCCGTAGATGAAATTTTGTTGACGCACAAAAATTAAAAAATAAACATAATTTGAAATAGACCCTGGGGGAAATTCTGATGGTATTTAGTGTCCAGCCATCGATACTAGTGTTCAGCCATCGATTCGCTTTTATGTATTTTTCGAGGCTGAGCGGCGAAGTTTGTTTGTAAGTTGGCTGCCATTTTTATCAGTGGAATTTTCATTTATTTTGTTAGGCGTGATGTTATTATTTCCATTCTAAGTTGTCGAATTTCAATTTAAATACGATATTAAAGTATACTTTTTAACGTAATCATTAGTGAGGATTAAATAGGTCCTTTGATAGTTCGACCGTTTCATTCTGTAACAATGTATATGACAATTTATAAAATGTGATCTGCCAACGTTTCTGGTATGACCACACAATTTCAAAGGAATTCAAGGGTGTCTAAATTTGAGTGAATTTGGAGTACTTTCCGTTTTTGTTGATGAGCAAATTCGAGAATTTTGTACTCTACACCTCTAAAAAGTAAGACTATAAGTGGCAATGAGGGACTGCCCCTATATTACGTAAAGCACTTTTTCGGCATTTTACCCCCCCCCCCTTCCCCTCGTAGAATTTTTGTGACGTAGGTCCCTATCCTTAAGTACGTAAAAACAAAATGGCCGAACGCTCTTTTCGACCCCCCCCCCTTCCCCAAAGCGTTACGGAAGGCGCTGCGTTTCGTTATGAACCGCCTCTTATTTTCACTAGTAATAATTAATTTAATGTTTTCACCCTTTTTTGCGTTTATCGGGAAATTTCGAAGAAAGTATTTTGTAAAATTAGATAATTGTAATTTTCATGAAATGTTACAACCCAGATTTTTGC